TCAAAAACCTCAGTGGAGTCCCTTTAATTTTTCATCTTTAAATATATTACATAAAATTTTATATTAACTTTACAATGTACTTTTTGACATTTCATAAACGTTACGGTAAAAGTGCATAAGACAACACACTTATATCAAATTGTAATCATGTATTCAATGCATGAATGAGTTATTTTCAAAAAACAATTTAACAAAGATAATATATAGGAAACTGTTGCATATTTAACTATTTAAACTATGTCCGTTATGTCATATCTGTTTAAATATCAAGCCTGTCTATAATATTCAAAACTCTTCCATGGAACAGCAAAAGAGATTTGTAAAGTTTCACACCTATCAAAAGAAGGACTTAAATCTATCCTTTGCATCTGTAAAGAAAAGTATAGGTAGGAAAAAAGTTTCAATGTAAAGTAATATATGGGCATCTACATTTATTTGTACATGTATATGCCTGCTTAACTGTACTTATATTATAATGTATTTTGGACTAGGCGCCTTTATCTTACTTATTAATTAAAACGATGAGTTAAGTGAAATTCAATTTGGCTGATTAAAAAGAGAAAGCGACTTTTATTGAACGTAGCTCCAAGCCTCAAATAGCCATCGGAAACGGGCACTGAACAGATATAAGGCAAACATCGGGAATAAAAAGGGTGATCAACGAATTAAAATCAAAATGAAACATTGTCAATGATTGTTCAAAATTTTGCCTTTTGAGCCTTGGTGGTCATCTACTTTAACATGTCCTTTTAAAAGTAAAACTGACAAATGATAATGTCTGAAATCACTAGGTCTAAAACTTTGACATATATGGTTTGTACCAAACTTAACAGGTGCGGTCCTACGAAAAGCGCTCATTAAAGAAGGAATTCCATGAATAACTTTAGATGTCATACATGTAGCAAATTATTTTTTTCTTTCAAATATGGAAAATGTATTCCTCCTCGGACTGCTTTTGCGTCCAGCAGAAGTGATGCATATACATCTGTAGTCCGTTTAATTGGGATAATGTCATTGTGTTGTTTTCTTGTTTTTTTTTCTTCAGATTTTGTTGCACATGTGCTCCGCCCAATTTTTTATGTGAGTGAAACAGCAAAAGAACATAAGAGAAAAACGAGATCAACAAGGTAGGGTGACATTCGATTGACGCATCCCCAATACGACCTAGCAAAACAGGACTTATGGCAAACAGCAAAGCAGGACACCAAATAAAAACAGGACTGGCACACGGGTAAAACATGAACGGGGGTGTTAATTTAAATAATTTAGAATAATTTATTACATAAACAGAAAAAGATATTAATTTTATCAAAAGCTACAAAAGTATCGCTAGGGGTTATCTCGAAAAAGTTATTCACATTCTGACTTTGGATTCCGTATTTTTAAGGAAGCGCTTATTTAAACATACTATTTTAACTTATCAGACATATGAAATATTCTCAAACGTTTTTGTTATTTTTCCGCCAGCAAACTGCGGGGTTATATATTCAATCTAAGCTCTTTGAACGCGAGTACATATATATTTCGAGGTCTCCAGGAATAGGAAATTTGACTGTATAATGATAATGCTTAGTACACGTGTTCATAATGCTGTTGTAATGTTTTCAATGTATATGGCAAATAATGCTAAAAGCTTCTTCTAATGACTTTAATACGCAGCCCAAAAATCGACCAAATATGGAGTTTCAAAGGACAATATCTTAGCGACATGGACATTTTCTAAGTAAAACGAAGTATTCTCATTAAAAAATACAAAAAAGAGAAACTGACAAACTCTTATTTTATAATCAATTCAACCGTAATTTGAAATTTGACTACTTTTAAAATAAGACTGTCAAAAATGACAAATCATGTAAGATCATTTACATCGTCATAATAAGATAATTTGAAAATTGAAACTTGTGTAATAAATTCTGCTGTTACATTTTCTTCATGGAGATTTATATCTTTTGATAAAAGTTTCTGCCTTTTGTAATGAAAAAAATGACATCAATGGGACTTCCCTCATTGTACCCATTTTTAAAAGAGTACATATAGGTTACTGTAATGTCAGAAAAATGTAAAAATAAAATCTATATAGATAATGTTAAGAAGGGAAATACATCATGCGTACAAAATTATTCATCAGGATTACCATTTTAAATTCGTACACACATTGAACATGAAACGCGTCTATCCTGATTTGAAAATATCTCATTGGCAACGCCGGTGAGCGGCGACGTCTCTTATGGAATGCTTTTTATTTTGGCCTATGGAAAGAGCTGTTATTATTATCAGTTAATGTCATTTTGTGTTAATTAGTTTTATTTTGATTCGTAAAAATCAAGTAAACAAATATGTTGTTATATTTGTAGTAAAAAGCATGTACATTGTGATATTATTTCACGACATTGCAGGCTCAGTTTAACAGCTTATCCCTGAGCTTTATTGGCAATACTAAAACCGGGATTTCGAATATCGTTGTGGTCTACATTTATGTCGTATTCTTTTTCATTCATTTATACATTTTTAAGATTTTCCTACAAGAAGAACGTTCAACTGCAAATGAGTATTAGGATTGGAAATGGAACTATTGTTAACAATTATCCTGTTGATGTTATCCATATTATGTTTATCTATTGCACAGAATGATTGTTTTTACTAAGTGTACCAGTATCCGAATGTTGAAAGCTGTCCGATTTTCTGCAATTACTGCTGTCACATGACCATCTAACTTTTTATGAATAGTTTATTATGTTTTGTAATGAAATTATTTTATGACAAGAAAAAAACATTAATTTTCTCATTTTCATTTTTGTAAAAATTAGACTGTAAAGATGCATATAGGTCGTCGTCGAAAAGTCTAGCAATTTAAAGGAGGAAAATACAAACTAAGTAATCCTTACAAAATCATGCATCAGGATTACTATTTAAAATGTAGTTTAGGGTAATTGTGTGTTAACATCTGGTATTTGCATGTTATTCAATTTTACTTTCACCCCATCCTCATTGTTTATTTTGTTAAGCATTTTCGTCCATAAAAATAAGAATAAAGTTATAAAGATTTATGTTTTTTTTGTTTGTTTGTTTTGTTTTTTGTTTTGTTTTTTGCTTTTTTGTTTTGTTTTTTGTTTGTTTGTTTTTTCTTTTTTTTTGGGGGGGGGGGGGGAGGAATAAATCACTTTCATTGCTTACGGTTGCATATGCGTATTCGTCTGAGCTCATCTACGTGAAACAGTAAAACATTCTCTCCAATAAAAACTGGTTTTCGTAAGTTTTCCAGTCACGAGGTGTTTTTTATTCGTGCGAATATTGTAACGCGTGAGCATTTCAAGTTAAAAGACTGTGCCTGTATTGACGTCGCAGAAATGTTATCATCATTAACATATAGCTGGCAGAAAATAATCACTGTACTCCTAGACTCCAACCATTCCAATCATTGAAATGAGTAGATACGTTAACTTTTTAAGTAATAATTTTATATAAGCCGTGAAATTGTAATGTGTGGTGTCTGTGTGTGTGTTGTTTTTTTGTTGATGTTGTTATTGTTTTTTGTTGTTGTTTTTTTGTTTTGTTTTTTTGTTGTTGTTTTTTTTTTGGGGGGGGGGGGGGGGGGGGTATATATCTTTGTTATAGTAATAAATCGAACAGCAATATTAAGGTGCTTCGTAAGGTCACAATACTTAAAATGATTTAGTTGTAAATATACGCAATTGTCATTTGAAATAAACGGTTAAAATTGTACCTATTTTGGCATATGCTTATATCAGTTTGCAAGGATGTGACCCGACATTTTGTGGTATGACATTGACAAACGGGATTGTTTTTCTCGCTGATTTTTATTTGGTTTTACCGGGGCGAATCCACCACAATATGCGAGGTTCATGGATCATAGCCAGAATTACTTTAAATCTACTGTACTTATCTTGTTTCATTGATAATATCTGAAAACTGGAAACATCTTTCATAATGACAATAAGTTTGTAATATCGAAACATTACCGTGTTACGTACAATATATTAAGTTGTAACTTTGTAAGCCAAGTTAAACCATGTAGAATTTCTTTTATCATTGCAAAAATGTCTTTATGAAGAGATTTGATGGAAGCAATTTACCCTGATTTCTCTCTTTACCTTTGTTATTGTTATACTTCTGTACAAGGCAATGTAGCTTGACATTCTTAATGGTTGACCACGTAGGACATGCTGAGGCAGAGTTCAACATTTCATCAAGAACTTATTAACATAGTTATCAGCACTATGCCTTGCTATCCATGTATTAAGCTAGGAGCTGTCTATTTCTATTTTACTCATTTCAATTTTTATTTCATTCCGTATTTTTGACGATGATTTTTTTAACTAAAGTATATAATAAAATCGCGGTCTTATTTCAAACACTTGTGTTCTGTTATTTTATTCACTGCCGTCTATTTGTTAAACAATTACGTTCATCTCTTGGAATAAAATTACCTCAGCGGCATTGCGCAGGTCCAGGCGCTGTAAGCTATGCATACAAACATATGTGAACGAAAATCTTTGATTCTAACACTGAAAAGGCAAAGAAAACCCCTTTTCTTTTTTAAATATGAGATTGCTTATGTTGTACTGGCATACATATTTGCTGCATATTGTAATTTTATTTATAAATATAATGGCGCATTTAAGATATAAATTACAACGAAAGATAGTTTCACCTGCTTTGTATACGTAAACCTTGTCGCTGGAATTGTAGTAAAAACTACCCGTTAATAAATTAATCGTTACTGGTTTTATCCCCAAAAATATTAGAAAATGGAACAGGAATGTTGATAGAAGGATATCATAGCCGTTAAGAATGTAAATGGAGATTTCCACATACTGGCAGAAAAGACATGAGTGACGTCACGTATCACATGACACGTCTTTCACTCTATATGTAACTTGTAGATAACAGTATTTTGAGTAATTTCTTTTGAAAACTTTCTTTTGACATATTTTAAGTGATTAAAGATATTTCAAATGACGAGATAAACAACTCCTGAATTCTGTCTACAATAATTGGTTAACATGATACGATGTATTTTATTAGGTAAATATTAATTACGTTTTATTCATATCAGAAGAACTTTGTACAATAGTTAGTTATTATAATGTGTAAAAAGTTTGTTTATGACTTGACAATGAATTTTATATAAGCACACAATAAAATATAGTAGAATATAAAACATTATTTAAAAATGATAAGATGCAATAGTTTCAACTTCTAAAATAAAAAGAACATTTCTGATGGTTTCATCATTTGCATGTCACTCAAACATTACATATTCCGCACAATTGTCTATACAAAAAATATTAAATAAAACAGTTTCATTGCATGCATTGCATTATCGTCAAATCCTGCTTTCCTATTTTATTCACGAAAGTTTTCTAAGTTTATTGTTGTATGTTGAAATAATGTTTCTACTCACGATATAAACACTTGGCGTTTTTCTTTTGATAGTGAAGCATATAAAGATAAAGAAACACGTAGAAGTAAAACGTTTGTTTATAGTTCTGATCTCAGTAAAGTAAAAAGCCGGAAAATGTACTCCATTGATGGTGCACATATAATGGCTTCGATCCCCATGGACCCTTTTTAGCTATGTTGACGATATCTCCAGCGTTTAGTTGAAGAACTGCCATATTGCTTCCCGAACCGAAATATTTACTACCAGAGAACATCAGCATCCTGATTTTCCCATTAACCTCTAGGCAAGTTTCAATTGCTTTTCCATACCCTGCTAGAATATTCGAATAGAAAACGTATGTTCCAGCAACAGGCACTTTAAATTCACTAGTTGAAGGATTATATGCATTGCCAATGTTTGTATCCACATGAGAAAAACGGATCGTGTCCCAGGCCTTAAGATTTTTAATGGATGGCGAAACTCTTGCATGAAAAGCCACTTGTCTTTCCTTTGGAACTTGTCTTTCTTCCAGGGAAACGCGTCTTTCCCTCTCAACACCAATCTCTGCCTTTAGACTTTGTACTTCACTCCGAAGTGATTTAAGCGTACTGAAAATGTCCACGGCAAGTTCATTTTCGGTATTAGGAACTTCAGCACAGACTCCCTTTTGTATTTCTGAGAACGATATCATTAGACAAAAGCCTACTAACGAAAGTTTGAATGTACATGGTATTCTCGAATCCATAGTATCTGCAAACTAATTTTCGTAAATTTTGTTTCAAATCTAGCAACTTCTTTCGCTTAGTATCCTAACTTAACTGAAATTTGATGATAACCCGAAACCTGCTTTTAAAGCTTTGCTGCCTTTTATCATTCAAGTGGAACAAAATAAATAAGGCCATTCGACTTTTATATTTTTGTTGAGCGTCCTTGTTTGCTTGATTTTTCTTCTTTTTTTTTTTCTTTTTATTTTTGTAACGGCGATTTATTCTTTCTGTATATTAAGTATATTTACGTTCGAGAAATAAACAACAACGTAATATTCTCGAACCGACTACTAAAACATTAAAACATCATATCTCTGATTTCTGTTGCTGATTCGTTTTTTGTAATTTCTGGAAGGTCTATTTTACAGCAATATAAAGTCAAAAGTCCTAACCTGACCATACTGACCGTCAGATTTCCGTGATGCGTGGATGTTTTGTACCGGCGATGTGTTCTTTCTGTATATAAATGTATCAATATCCGAATCAAAAACACAAAATTCTCGAGTCAACTGCTAAACCACAATATGTCTAATTTCATTGCGGATCCGGTTTTGTACAAGTTTGGAGAGTCTTCTTTACAGAAATATAAGGCCCAAAGCCTAACCCAACAAAAATGTCCGTGATATTTTCGCGAGGCATGCATTTTCGCTTCTTTTTACCGGCAATTTGTTCTTTCTGTTATCATCGTGTATATACAGTAACGCAGGAATGTGCAAATAACGCTGGAATTGTGCAAAAGTAACGCAGAATTACGCAATTTAGTGGGTAAAACGAGCACCGCTATTAGGAAATGGTCAAATGATTTTTATTGTACACAAAATTGGAAGAAATGAGTTAGCGCATACGGTTGCTGAGACATTATGCTTTAAACTCATTAAAAATATTTCCATTAAAATGTTTATTTTTCAAGATTATTCGTGAAAATGACGACCTGACTAGCGTATTGATAGCGATTTTTAGTCTCGTTGATATCTTTAAATACAATAACGTTCATATTACTTTATGATCTGTTATATTCGGTGTAAATGATACATTTTCCAATCTACTCGTGTCATATAATACTTAATTTAGCAGATAAAACGTAACTGAGACATTTTTTACGAGGTAACGCCGAATTTGTGAACGAAGCACCGAAGCAACGGATGTTTTCTCATTAAAGGTCCCTGAATTCTATTTAACCAGCTTCTTTTTATTGTTATACGACACTTGTAGTTTGACAAATGTCTTAGGTATACAGAATGTGAAACAAATAACGTTTTAAATGTACATATTTATTTAACGAAACACAAAATTCACATACAAAACAGTAACCATGTTGTCTTTCTCACGAATGATCTAAACAAGTAAACATATTGCTTATAAAAATGTTAATGCTTGTTAATGTATAATGTCGTTGCAGCCGTATGCGCTTATTCATTACTTTAAATTTAATTTAGAATAACATTTTTTGGTTCAATATTTACTGTCTTATTCGTTTTGGCAGTGGCGTTGCACAGTTTCGGCGTTACTTTTACGTTATTTCCACATTCCAGCGTTATTGGATATGAACGGTGGTATATAAACTATATCAATCTTCGTTATAAACACAATATTCTCGAGCCAAAAACACCGTTTGTCTGATTCCGTTTGTTGTTGTTGTTGTTTTTTGTTGTTGTTGTTTATTTATACATGCGATTTCTTGAGATTTTCGAGTTGCATGGTCGTTTTGGGGCCTGCGATTGTTTTTTTCTGTAATAATACATTGTAAAGATATACATAAAGTGTAATCCCTCGGGAGCATTAATCACAGCAAAGTAACATGAAAATTGCAGACTGACTCGGTTTGATTGAGTCTTTACATGAAGGATAATGTAAAAGAGTCCCCCTCAAGCCCCATATCACCGATTTGAGCGGTACTCAATGTTCAACACTTAAGAGTGCTAAAATCAATTATCCCGAAGGGAAAAAAGTATAACAATTCTAAAGTGAAGTACTGGAACGACGTTTTTACAGCTGCACTTGATACCTGTTGTTATAAAGTGTAAAATTCTAGATAAAGTGTGATCCCTCAGCACACAATTGCGTGAAAATTGTAACACTTGTCTGGCATTAGATATCATAATGATTATGTTTACAATTAAGTATATGTATCTAAGTGACTTTTTTTAGCTGGTACTAAAATAGTTTTCCACACAGAAAGTTTTACTTCTCCGAATGCAATAAGTCATTGCATCAAGAAAATGTAGTGTAATAATTTGTACGTATCATGTTCTTGCACAAAAATTATATTATAACATGTTTGACTATTGCAGAAATAGGTTTATTTAATATAAAAAGATAGATATGAGAAAATGTATGATGTTTAGATCGTTGACTTCAAACCACTTGCATCTACACGCTGTAGGTTCGAGCTGTCCGAGCATCGTCGGAGACTTCGTGTGAAAAACCATCCAGCAAGCTAGATCTGGTTTCCGTCAAATGCCCTATACTGTGTTGTTGCAACGTAAAACGCAACCAAAGAAAAAATAAAGTGGCCTATTCTTCAGGTAATTACCCCATGCACAAACATTGTGGAACATAATTTACCTGTAACCTTACAATTTAACTGTAACTTTTAGATTTTAAATGAATTCCTCTCTTTTAACGGACGGTGAATAGATGTTATCGTGAAAAAAACATTCTTTATTATAAAATTGTTGCTAGCTTGCATAATAATTGTAAGCTTCCTTTCAATCATTCATGACCTGAAATACCGTATCCGTTTCCCCACCATGTTTTAAATAAGAATTGATGATGTTGGTGATTTTTGTGGGATTATATTTGATTTATAAACAGGATGCGCTTTTTTTCTTTTGTTGATGCTTGGTTATTGGATATTCTGAGTGTCAAAATAAATTTGAAATTCAATACCACAGCTGCATAAGTAAAGAAACTTTAAATTTAGTATATTGAAACTCTAAAAATGTGAAATATATCATTTATGCTTCATGATTAAATGGTGTAATTTTATAGAAAATTGGGTAAAATGTCATTTTTTAAATTCTATGTTACAAAAAGATGACAGCAAAGATATATTTCTTACTCCTTTCACGAAGTAAACTAGGTAAGTTCATTGTGAATCAAGAATTTTAAACAAGTTTGTATGTCATTTACTGTTTGTCATGTTTTAATCGACTGCCTAACATCCAAACATTTTGTTATTGTAGTACAATAAGTTCGTTACACTTAGCTCGTATACACCGTATACATACGGTACTATGATGTGGCAATTTTTTTTTTTCATGAAGCAGTTTCTTATGATTTCCAAATTTTAAAATATTCAAAAAGCTTAAACCTTATCAAATTGAATGCATTTTAAATGGCGCCGAATGATTTTGGAGCATTTTGCACACAATCGCAATACCAGCTGACTACATTGGATAATCATGATTTCGGTGAACTATTGTCTGTAACGGACAGCTTGTTTGGTTAGCTGAAAATATAAGAAAAGTCTAAAGGCTAAACAAAATTTGTATAAATGGTTTTTACCTTCTTGTATTTCGTTATTTTATGCTAAAATGACTTTTCCATTTGTATTTAGAAATTTTTTTTTTCATTGGGAAATGGAATGTGCTGAATTCCTATATTTCTTCAAAGGATTTGTATAAAAACTTGGGGAGTGAAGCAAACCATAAAATTTTAAAAGGGGAAATATAGAAAATATAAATTTTTTTGATTTCTTATCTACTTTTGGTAGCATAATGCATTTTAAGAAAATTTTTGGAACAATTATTGAATGAAATAACGGGGATTGGAAAACCTTTTGTTTTTATGATTGTAAAAATTTACATGTCTATAATTATACAAAAAAAGGTCTTAACTTTGGTTTTCAACGAAGGGTTTCCCTTTTAGTTCTTTAAAAAAATTTTTGGATTTTTTGTATTCTTTCCCCTTGTTATTTTTAATAAAAAAGGAAAACAAATTTTTTCCAAAGTTTTACCAGGTGATATCCCGGAATAAACCATTGTATGGTCCAATCTTGTTTATAATATTAAGCTTGGTTAACTTTACATTTTCCGAGTATAAATAAGATCCATATCCTAACTATTGTACTCCAATATGCCTGGTGTTTTTTTTTTTCTTTTTGAGTCCACATAAGTCAAAAACAACACTGTTGTTTTCCATATAATCTTGTCTTCATTTTTAAATGCATAATTGCTCGCAGTTCATGTCACAGTTCCGGCAAATATTGTAGTTTTGCGTTCAGTAGAAATGAATGTTGTATAATGCCAGTTAATGAACTAATACGTGTTCTGTACTTTATCAATCACATTATTATTATATGTTATTGTCTTTCCAGATTATTGAGTCTTATACAATGAGTGTTCAGGACTGGATAACATAAAGAAAATATATGACAGTGAAAGGGAAGTTAAAGATGTTGCTCTTTGGCTCTTTCCATTATGACAGACAAGATAACGCACAGTCTGTAATTTTCAATCAGTTTTTGATAATTTTCCGTTGCTTTTAAGTGACCTGCTATTTATAGAATTATAGAGATCCTGTCTGATATCCTCTTCCGTTTTTGCTTTTTACCTTGTTTTAGTTGACATGGACCTTCTTTATAAAGTGCATATAGTATAATTAAACTTCCTCATTATCGATAATGAATCGTCAATGGTTGAGAGGCTACAAAAGCAACAACAGCTGCAGAAGAAGAAGAAGAGGAAGTGCCCGCAGCAGTTTCTATCGCATCGGCACTAAAATGAAATTAAATGGATCAGATGCTTTGAAGATTGTTTTTCTTAAAGGAAAACCATTTAACTATTTGGACTGGATGCACTGCGACATTATTGTTTTAACACTACCGTAAATATACTTCCTTGTTTTTATCAGATAAATGTTCAGATTATGTATAGATAATGTTTTAGAATAAAAATTATCCTTATTTGGTTCATAGAAAAGGTGAGAATTTTACTGCCTGTTTCGAGTGGTCTTCAAAATTCTCACTAACATAAAGGTTCCAACCAAGGCAGGCAAGTATTTGAACAAAATTTGTGAAATATATATACACATTATAAATAAAATGACACATTTTGCATCCAGAATTTGGTGTTTAGGTTTTTGCCTAATATTTTTGTCGGTTATACAAACTAGAGTCATTGCGGTTGCTTTTAACAAAGAGGAGGTAAATCCTCTAGACATATTCAACCAGATTCAAATAATTCGGGATGAAGTAGATAGCCTAAGGACTGAGCTCGGTGTTGAGAGGGACAGGCGTATTTCTTTGGAAAAAGCTTTAGGTAACATGCGTTCTGATTGTGAAGACAGTGGACCAGCTACTAATGAACAACAAGTAGCTTTTTATGCATCGGTATCGCCATCCATTACCGAAATTCAGCCTTGGGAAACGGTCGTTTTTTCTCAGGTGGTTACCAACGAAAGAGGAGCATACAATTCTTCAACGGGGGAATTTAAAGCACCTGTTAATGGAACATACGCTTTCTATTCAAATATTCTGTCAGATTGGGGAAAGTACATTGAAACTTGTTTAAAAGTAAATGGAGAGATCAGGATGTATATGTATTCCGGTAGTCAATATCGTGGTTCAGGCAGTAATATGGCATTGCTGAAACTGAAGGTTGGAGATATTGTCAACATTGTAAAACATGGATCCGGGGGATTGACGCCTTTTTATATACACCGTCGGTGGAGTACATTCTCAGGCTTTTTACTTGTCTCCGACTAGAGCCTCTTTGGATACCGATCTACATAATTTTATCACTAAATGAAAAAACTAAGTTATTGTGCATATAAGCATTGTTACAGCATATAACAACAAAAATAGGACCTTTCGTGAATTGAAATTTGGAATTCTCTTCAAAAACCAAAAAAGAAATAAGACATGTGCCTTTTTTTCATTTTCTTTTCTTTCTTTCTTTTTTTTGTTGTTGTTGTTGTTGCTTTTTAACTCTATAAAAACTGTTGATTTTTGTTTTAATTTTGAGTTCATTTCAAATCTTCATATCAAAGTAAATTTTTCAATATATATGTATAAATTTCCATTAATTTAACCATTCAGTAATAATAAAACAAATTAAGAATTACCGTGCCGTTGCTAAATATCCATCCGTTTTAGTTTGTTTTTCTTACGTTTAATGATATAATGTAAATATCACCGATAATGAAAATAAAACTTAAAGAATTCTACCTAGCTATCTAATTTATTATTTCATTATTCAGATCGACCGCTCTGCCCCATAGGAAAAAGCATCAGATTTGTTTCATAGGGTTGTTGGTTTGGTCATCCGGCGAGGTGATATTTCTATGTTAAAATTTGTCTTTGTTAATTCCGAGATCATGCAGGATTTGTAGCCGATCGGTTATGGAGAAAAAATAATAATAGCTGTCTTGATACGAAGTATGACTAAACTTACCGGCCTTACAAAATGCATATACTGTATACAATGTATATGTCAAACAATAGGCTCAGTCAAACTGAATATGCAACGTTTTCAAGTCCCCGTAATATGATGTTTCAAACACTTACTAAGTTTTTTTTTCGGCCGAAGGCCATCTCATTTCACCTTGGCTTCCGCTAAAATAAACAGTAAAGAAATGAATATAGGCAGAATTTTTATTGGTCATTTTAATACTTATAGCCTTTTCGATTGATACTTTAGAAGAGCTTCCGTTATATGTAGAGGTCTGTTCGATTGCGTGATGGCAAGAAGTGTTTGGAAATAGATATAAATCAGAATAAATATAAAACACAATAATGATATTTTTAGATGTTTCTAACAGCTTTTCAATAATATATGAAATATATGCAGATCGCTTTTTTGATACTTTTTCGTTCGGTTTGGTTTCTTTTCTAAGCTGTTCTAGTCATTATATTCTATTCTCCGAACCGGGCATAAGACAATTGAAAACGAACTTGCGACTAATTTACAGTTGCAAACTTCTCCATGGAATTAGTGTAAAATATCTACTAAATCTTTGTTTTATTATAGAAATCCTATTCAAATCAAATTCTATTTTGATTAAAATCAAATAATAGAAGGAATATTGTTAAAATCTAAAATGACAATTAATGGGGAAAACATTGCGGGTAAAACTGAACTGAAATAAAACAATTGAGGACGAATAAAATGTTCTGTCTGCGGTTAGCAGGGCTAGAAAGTGGGCTTATCATATCCCAATTTTAAAAAAGTTTGATTTCAAACCGAGTATCTTTTTTAAAGGGATATTCTTTTTTAAAACTGTTAAAATTACCCCATTTTAAATTTTCTAAAGTCCGCTAAAAAGAAAAAAGGTAGATATTTTTTAATTTTTTCTACGTCATTTTTTAATAATATGTACAACCTTTTCCTTGTTTTAATATGTACAAAAGTAAAGTACCTACTGTTGAAGGGGGAAGCAAGGTAATGATGCTGGAAAAAATAGTTTTCCCGCTTTGTCATTTGTAGGTTGTTAAAAAAATTTTAAAAACTTTTTTAATTTTCAAAAAATTTGGGAAAACCAAAAGACCCCCCCCAAATTTGGAAATTTTTTTCTTTTTTACTTGTGTTTGATTTTGAATTTCTTTAGTCTGCTTTACCTATGTTTCGCAATGTTATAAATCTTTGTTATACATGTATATACAAAGGTTCAAGCTATCATCTATTTACAAAAAACCTGAATTGCATAGACATTCAAGATACGGTACAGTGATTTCGATCATACACTGCAAATACCCATCCGAACATTAAAGTGGATTGGTCTATAATGGAAGATATGTAATACCACAGATAATTATGTTGATCGTTTTTACTAACATATGTTAAATATAACCAAAAAAAAATATATATAGATTTTACGGTGAGTATGGTAAGTTTGAGATACATGGTCCGATATGACATATATTATAAAAGCTATATATAGCAAAAATTCAATTGTTTTAGAACAAAATATTATTATTATTCATATAATTGTTCAAACTAAATCACTTTAGAATTATAAAACTATTATATAAACATTTTGTTTTTCAGAAATATTTCATAAGAATATCAAATTGATATAAATGTACATTGTATTTCTATGTTTTTTTATCAAAATTTGAAATGTCGTATGAAAATGTGCCAATTATAGACCAATCCACTTTAATAACAAGAAAATAAACTAAAGTATTCATTCGCGTACCAACAACAGGAAGTTTAGAACGGCGAAACATTGTAAAAAAAAATTCAATTTCACGTAATCGGAAAATCTAACTCGAGTTAGAAGAAAAATGATCTGTTTTGGGAGGATTTTTTTGAATGATTATTGCACAATGAAGGTTGAATGCCAATTTACCCTTTCAATTCACTTTTCTAAAATTAAATTACTAATTTTTTTTTTTGCAACTGTTTTTGACCCATGCAAAGCTAAGTTTTGGTGAGATTTCGCAACAAAAATATCTTTTAACAAGAGTTGATTTTGTAAGTAATGTCAGATTAATAAGTTATTAGATTCATTATAAATGTTGCATAGTTGGTACAGCTGCATAAACTGGACAGTCTGATTTCTTTTTGCAGCTTGTGTCAAACTCCAATAGAATTATTTTGTTAAAACCATGTTAAATGACCTTTATTTCATACCACTTTTTTATACGCCCCGTTAAAAACGGATTGCGTATTATAGGCACGACGGGCACGGCGTCTCATTTTGTCCGGAGCGTACTTTCCTACACGCAATCGGGGAGCAATTTTTAATGGAATTCATAATAATAGTTTACCACTATGAGAAGCTGTTGTCGCCACAGGAAACCAGTCTCTATGTCACAAGGTCTATGACAAAATTTGAGGGTAATTAAAAAATCGCTTGTCCAGGCAAAACTTCTACTTGCTTATTAGGGATTTTTATAAAAATGTTTCACCATGTGTGCAATGCAAAAAATCTGCAAAATTCCAGTGCCTGAAATCATGTTTTTTAGGTTAATATATGCAATGTCAAGGTCAGCTAAGATTTGCTTAAAATATAGAGATTCGTCCTGAGCATATCTCTTCCGCATTTTGGGATTCTAATCAAAAACTTCATGAAATGTTTACCACTATCAAAGGCAGTGTCACGTGCATGAACCAGGTATCTAGGTTAAAGGTTAAAGTCACTCTTAGAGGTCATTGAAAAATGCTTGCTTCGGATCCGAACTTCTAACATTTATTTGGGGGTTTTTAAAGTTACTTGACACAAAAAGTTCCCAATGTGGGGGTATATAATGCGCAAAATTAAACCAGGGTCCCTGCTTCTAGTCCCGGGTCAAAATAGAGAGGTCAAAATTTGTGTACTGGGGATTTAATTAAGTCAAAATTTTTTTGATGGGTTTTTAAACAAATGATAACTAAACATGACTTTAAAATGTGGGCACAAAGTAAGTTTGGTAAAAGTTTTCAAGGTCAAGGGAAACTGGATATGATAAAATATCAGATATTGTTTCCCGGATGTGCCCGAGTATTCTCTATCTATATTTCCCCATCTCTGTCAAAAAACTTTTTCGGGCACGTATGGGTTCGAAAAATGTTGGGCCCCCGTTTTTTAAAATTTTTCAGAAATTTGGTTTCTTTCATTTTAAAAAGGGTTTTAATGGGGGTTTTTTTTTTAAATTTTTTTGTAAAAAGGGGAAAAGAGGCTAGATTTGGGTTTAAAATCCAATATGTTTTTATTGGGAAAAATCCCTGACTGTGGGCCACATCTGAAAAGTGGCATTGGAATTTCATTTTTTGGGCGAAATGAAAATTTAAAATTTTTATGAAAAAAAGCGGATGGGGCAATGGCATAAAATTCCAAACTTAAATTTGATTTCTTTTAAATATTCAAATTTATATAACGTTATGTAATTTAATAAGGGCGAATAGCCGGGAAAAATTAAATAGCAAAATTTTTAGGAATTTATTAACAACATTATCTGTATTAGATACCCTGAAAATTTTTTGGGTAAAAACAGTGCTTTTCTTCAAAACATGTTACATCTCAGTAAGTTAATATAGGAAAAATGTTTACGAAAGTCTGTTAATTAGTTTAAAAGGTTAGAAAAGTTTGGCAAATTGTTACGCATTAAAAACATTATACATTAATAAATATAATGCAAACATATAAAGTATCCTTCAGATTGAATGTAATACATTTACCATGTTTTAAAAAAATAATTTCATGGATTCGTAGAATAACCTTTGCTAATATCTGTCCACAACAAATGATATTGTCTTGCTTGTATATAATTACAGAACTTTATTCTGGATTCAATTTTACGGTACGAGTCACAGCATTGTTATTTTATGAAGCATTTCTTGGTTTAATTGTCGTTTTCTCTTTCTTCCAATAAAGACACCTTGATCCAAAACATTTACAATGTTCGTTCTGTCAGTTGTAGGGGATATAGCCCTGAAGAATGTACTCCCCCAGATGGTGTACATAATTTCGGCTAAAAAAGGTCCCTGGGTTTAAAAATGTTGACAAAATTACCCCCCTTTAGTTTAAAAATTTCCAATTCTGGCCCGGAAAACCCTGAATTCTACCTGAGTACATATTTCAAACCTTTGGTTTCCCCCTGATTTTGTAGGGAAGTTTTAATATTCCTTTCCACTAGCTGAAAAAAATTTGAGGAAAAAAAGGCGGGATGCCCATTTATGGGTTTAACGAATTGTCCACTTGAAGAATTATATGCCTCTCCATCGTTGGTTTCAACGAGAGAAAACACAAGTGTAGCCCAGGGCTGAATATCGGTAAGCGAAGGCGAAACCTTTGCATAAAATGCCACTTTCTGTTCATTGACAGCTTCTCTGTTATCCTCACAAGCCGGCCGCCTTTTGTCCATAACTTTTTCCAAAGATATGCGTCTGCCCCTCTCAACGCCAAGGTCAGTCCGTAGGCTATTTATTTGATTCTGAAGTAATTGAAACATTCTGTCCACAGAATGCATCTCTTTGCTGTTGGAAGAGTCAACAATTCTTCCTTGTTGTACAACCAGCACGGAATTGATTAGACAAAAACCTAGAAACGAAAGCCTGAATGTGAAAGTCATTCTCGAATCCGTTTAGTTTATTAAATAAAATTATTTAATTTGCTTTCAAAATATTGCAACCTCCTAAGATAAATACCTTAACTTAAATGAACCAAGTCACATTTTTTTTTTTAAATGATCAGATGAAACAGAAAGCAAAACCAAACCCTTTAAAATTTATCAGATTAGAATT